AACATATAATCAATAATACAAGCGAAACAAAACAATATCCACGAAATTACACACTTAACAAAAAGCTGGCGTCATGCGGTAAACATTCCTATCAACACGCAAGAAAGTTCAAAGCCTGAAACTACATAGTTCGCACGCGGTGTACCGGTGGGATGGCAAAGAGCGTTCGTCTCACCAAACATGGCGAAGCCGAATTCGTGAAGTGGACGTGGGTAGGCCGGTTGCGGCGACAAAGTGCTGGCGGCTGAGTGACGCGTTGAGAAGTCAGGAGAATATGGCAGCTGGATGAACAGCTCGGGTCCATAGCCCGACTGTTGTTGCTTGCCTGTCGGTGCAGAAGTCCACAGGCCCTGTGCTGAAGTTCACGTATGGTAGCTCACGTCTTGCCACACAGGAACGTGGCGGTAGGAAGCCCCGGTCGTTTGAAGTCTTCAAGGTTTGTGTCCGTAATCCGATGACCCATCTTTATTGCCCGGTCTGGTGAAACCTTCCCATCGCCACGTCCTCTTCGAACTTCTTTGCTCTTCTCTGGCTCAGATCATCCTTGAACTTTGGCCCACTTGTCCCAGTTTTAGTAGGCAATGCTTGACATTTCATGGTGTACAGCAATTGGACCCTGGAATCTCCACGGTCGTCGCCCATGGGTTCACTTTTGTTTTCTTTTGTTCCCATCACGCCACGCGTCCTCGGGCCTGACACTCTTCGACATCGTCATTGTAGTTTAGGCGGCACCACGCGAGCGCTTTGCTGCTGCTTTGTTCTTGCTCCGCGCACTTTTTAAAGATGCACTTACACACGCGCACAACTCATCACACTTGTCGACCTTGATCCCGCAAGACCTTGTTCGCCAATTGCACGCTTGAGAACGGCTCTGTAGCAAAGTAAATGTTGTCCGTCATTGTTTTTTTTTTTTTGTTTTGTTTTTACGAGAAACTGTTTTGTGCTTCGGTCTATGGTGGCCCCACTGACATGATGTGTTAAAAATTATGGACTGTTTCCCCGAAGGGAACCTTGATGGTATGTGAAGCAGTAGCGGTGCGCATAGCGTTGCCCCGAATAAAACGGGCGTCGACGTGGCTGCTGGATGAACGGGTTGGAATGAAACTCAGTGTAGCGTTTCTCGAGTAAATATTTGTTTGAACCACGAAAACACGGGAGGTAGGTTGGGTATCGTGTAAGTTTTATTGCAAATAAACGAGCCATAACAGTTGACAGACTTGGTAACGCGTCCGCATTAATCGTACGGACGCAGCCTGCTAGCCATTTGCATTGACAGGCCATGTCCGTACGGCTGCTGCGGACGCGCAACTAAATCTGTCTATTGTTTCCACTCGACGTGCAATCGAGCGTTGTGGGCAGTGGAGAGGGTGAAGCGAGTAAGAAGTGTGTTACGAGCGGGTGGAGGAGCCAAGAGCTGCTGCGGGTGAGAGAGAGAGTGACTGTCGCGGTTCGTGGGCTCTCAGACACTGACAAGTTACGCATAACATGATTCAAGCACAAATACACACAATTTCAATACATGGCCCAACAGTACAACACGGTTACGTTCCCTCTGACTCCAGTCCTTAGTCCCGTTGACTAGGCGTATATATACACGCGTTGGCTTCTTCGGTAACTCTCGTTCTTAGACGGCACATACGGCTCCGATGACCACGTAGTCGACGCTCGCTTGTAGCAGGGGAAAGAAGCGCGCCGACCCGGCCGGCTCAGGAATACCTCGAAGCACGATAACTCCACGTAGCGCTGAGACCACCGCGTAGTCGGTTGTGCCGGATCGCGACATACACGTGGCGCCAAGGACACGCCCTCAGCGTACTGTTGCGCCGGACCCCAGCAGACTCAACACCCTGGACCGGCTCTGTAGCTGGTTAGTCTCGGACACCATATAGCCCACGATCAGCAGCTCGTCCTGGTCCACTCGCACGTTCACCATAGAAACGCGCTGCAAGGCCCGGTGTGGAAACCACCCCTTCACCGCAGGAAACGCCAGGCTCGTCCAGGCTGGTCCGATGGCCCCAACGTGGCAACGTACACTCTGCCAGTCGACGTTACAAGGCTCAAGCGCCTCACGCTAGCCTTTGTTTGTTTGTTTGTTTCACTATCTAAATGGCACGTACCCACTTTAGGGGTTTGGCCAAGAATGCAACGCTGAGACTTGAATGTTGTTTTAAGTAAGCTATGAACTTGAAAACAAAAAAATAAAAATAAAATGGTGATAATACGTGAGATATTAAATTTAACTACAAGTAATATGCTTTTGAGGAAAGTGTTCTAGCCTTTTGCGCGCACACTTTGCCTGTTCGTTATCCCCTTCTGAGTGTGCCCTTTCAGTTTCAGTTCACTCTTACCAAAGTGACATAAACGCGCAGCTGCGACTTGACCTACTTGGCACCGCTACAACACCTGCGTCGAGAGGGTTGTGCGGACACATGGGACAGCGGTGCAAAGGCCAATCAAAGAGCTGCTTCACATTTAAAATATATAGTAATAGACTGTACGGAAAAAATGCCCCCACTCCCGAAAGGGCCTCGAGAGGAAATGCGAAAGCATTTCTTGCGCCGAGGGATGGTACCGTTGCCGTCAAACATTCGCCATCACCGACTTCTGCCATCGCTTTTAGAGGCGCCCAGCCAGCGAATGGTCGAGAGTGAGGAGTGAGCGGATGGGAGAGTACGGCGCCAGCATTCTCAGCTCGGCGTTGGCGTTTCACAGCAGCGTCTCGAGCGCACACTTCCGCATATTCTTTAAAGGCGTCCAGCCAGCGAACGGTCAAGAGTGAGGCGTGAGCGGACGGAAGAGTGGTGCTCAGAAAGGGGAGAGAGTGAACGGCGAGAAAATGCGCGGCGAAGCACTGCATTTTTTCCTCCTATACTATCTCCCACCACATGCTCCAGTTGCTAGGGGCGAGGATAAGCGTGCGTGCCCACAGCTGTTGCTATGGGAGAGGGAGTGAGAGCAAAGAGATAACACATACCGGCGCGCGGACGCCGCTGACAACGCCGGGTGCATGACATAGCCCGTCTAAAAAATGCATTCTCATTTAAAAATGCAGAAGTTCTGGCGGCGAGCGTCGAACCTACGTCTTCTCACTCCACCGCGCGAAACCATATAGGCCACAGAGTGCTCACTTGCTAACAGTGAGCTATTTATATACACTATTCACCAATGCCGGCTCTCAGAGCTCAGCAAATTCCGCGCGTTTTCGTCACCAGTAGCGAGATGGCGCGAAATGCGCGCTGGGCGCGCTCTAAAGGTCGTAGCCCCGCGCGTCACGATGCGCGCGCGTCTCCACAGAGCGTGATTGTTCGTGCGGGCGCGCTTATAGTACGATTCGGGTGCTTTGTACCTCTTGTGCTTCCACAGCAAGATTGCGTTGAAGTTACCGTAGTAAGAGAGAGCACGAAGGTCACTTGGCTCGCTTCTGTGGCCACGAAAGCAGCGAGATGCTCAGACACGAAGAAGTAATAATTGTGATCGCTGTTCACGCTCGTCCTGCTTACTTAAGCGTTTGTTTCGCGCGTCTTCCTTTGTTTGAACAGCACGCTTTCAAAGGCCCTTAGACGACCTCCGAAAATACAAAGAACGAGCACGTTACTCTCTCCCGGCGTTTCCAATCTTAGCGGCACAATTGGTGACATGTCTAGAGATTTGTTCACATATCAAAATCAAATGAGCTCTTGATTGACCGATATACGAGAGGTATTTGTTGTGAATTTTTACCTTTCCCAATTTGCTATACAGTTACATGACCGGTCCATCTCATCTCGCATGATTATTCTCAGCAATAAACTGGTTTCACTTTATTTTCTGCGTTTACGTCTTCGCTAGTGGAGACAGCAGCGTGTAGTCAAAAAATGCAAAATCCAGACGGTTTCCAATGCTTAGGTCGGACATTTCACGCATTCTCTGAAGAAATAAACGGTGAGACAGAGACAGCGCTTGTTGGAATAAGGGTTGTGAAGGCGAGCCCGAAACTACTTTCTCGCCTTTGAACTCGGTGCCGTTTATAGGGCCCCTTTAAGTGTCGAGCTGTGACAGCTCTTAGTTCGCGTCGAGCTGTGACAGTTCTTACTTCGAACTCGTCCTATGTGATCATTTCGTGCGTGCTTCCTGCTTGAGGTGTACTATCAGCGTCAAATGAAACCCGAACAGTGGCAAGCCTTCGCGATGGTGTAGTGCACGCTGTCCACTTATCACTACGAACAGGCACGCATATATGTGCAAAGCTACTGAACAGGATGCGCGCGCCTGTCAATGGTGATAACTGGATGGCACGCACTACACTATCGCAAAGGCTTGCCGCTGTTCGGGTTTCATTTGACGCTGATAGTACACTGCAAGTTTCGAGCTACTTGCCGTTCTTCACGTGACATTATACCATTTTTTGCTGTAGCATTCATTCCTTTGCCCTTAATTGTGGCAAAACAATGCACAGAAACGCTCAATTGCCTTTGTGAAGAGAAGTTTCCTTTAATGTTGCACCGATTCCTAGACAGAGAAATCAGCCATGTTTTTTTTTCTTATTTGGGGTGATCTCCTAACTAAAAAAAGTATTACAAATAAAGAGTATTAATGGGTAAAGGCAGGGAAAGAGTTTCGTCTACGAACCCTCGCCGTGACAAAAGTATACTGTCATTTATTTGGGTGCACGTTAAAGAACCCCAGGTGGTCAAAATTTCCGGAGCCCTCCACTACGGCGTCTCTCATAATCATATCGTGGTTTTGGGACGTTAAACCCCACAAATCAATCAATCAAAGTATACTGTCTGCGTGGACGGCCCTGTTGGCCTTCTGGCAACTGGTAGTTCAATATTCTGCAACTTGTACAATGTTGCCTGTTTGGGTGAAAAGGAGATACGTAAAACGTGTTTTATCTGGCGTCTAACAACTTTCATTATAATCCAGGGCTCGACACACCAACGCCTGGTGCATAATTTTTTTAGCTAAACGGACACACACGCACACGCACACGCACACAACGAGTGCGAGTCGGCTTCAGACAATGAACAACTTTATTGCCGGAACAAGAACGAGTATATATACACAACTAGTGCCGCCGCCAGGCATGCGCACTAAAGGTACAAACAGTGACGTGGCGCTTATTGAGCCTTGCTACATCTTCCCTTTTTACGGGGCAGTTAACACCTGGTTAGCGCCTCTCAGGTAGAGGGTACTGACAGGGCTCGCATCGTTGCCTTGTGCTTCGCCGTAGTTCTGTAGGGGCCGTTGAGGACGCCCCGTTTGGAGGGACAAGGCTCGCTTCTGGCTGGTTTGATTCTGGTTGCGGTTCTAGCAAGCGGAGATGCTCTCTTGTGCGCCGAAGTTCCCGGCCGTCTTCTGTTTTAACGATGGCCGAGCAGGTTTCCCCGGACGGTCTGATGAAGACTGCAGGCGCCCAGGTCCGCTGGTTTGTATCATATACGGTGACCTGCTGGCCTGGCTGCACAGGCGGTAGTGTTCTGCTACCGCGGTTGTAGTAGGTCCTCTGTCGTTGCCGTATTTCTTGAAGGCGGCCCTGTACCACTTTCGGTGGGATGGTCCTCGGTTCCAAATGGCTGGTAGGCACCGGTAGCAGAGTTCTAGTCTGGCGTCCCATCAGCCTCTGCACAGTGGACTGGAGCAAATCATCACGTGGAGTATTGCGCCACTCAAGCAAAGCCATTTGAAACACGGGCATTTTCAATGAGCACTTTTTTAAAAGCTTTTTTGCCTCCTGGACCGCTCTTTCCGTCATGCCGTTTGACCGCGGGTGGTAGGGGCTTGAGGTTACGTGAGCAATGCCCAAAGTGTCCAGAAACTCCTTAAACTCATGACTGCTAAAAGGCGGGCCATTATCACTGCACAACTTTAGTGGCAAGCCATGGACGGAAAAAATTTCTGAACACCACATTTTAAGCGAGCTCGCCGTTGTCGTCCGAAACTCGTAGTTCAAAGAAGAACGAGTAGAAGTCGACAATGACGGTGAACTCTCGGCCTTCGAAACAGAACAAATCTATGCCGACAACTTGCCATGGTAGCGAGGGTACCTCGTGACTCAAAAGTGGCATCTTAGGGTTCTGAGGTTTATGCTTTTGACATACTTTGCAAGCTTTGCAGAACTTCTCGATGTTGCCCGCCATATTCGGCCAAAACATCACGTTCCTTGCCCTAGGCTTCATTTTTTCGACTCCCACATGCGCTGAGTGAAGAGTACTCATCATTTCTGATGTCTTTGATTGTGGCACGATTACCTTGTTACTCCGGAATACGAGGCCGTCCTGTTCGTGTATCTCGTCCCGGTACTCCCAGTACGTCCGAAGTGGCTCGGGGACGTCTTGCTTGTGAAGCGGCCATGCTGTACTTGCGTATTCGCGGAACTTGCCCAGGGTTGAGTCCTCATTGGTGGCTTGAAGCAAGTCTTGCAGCGCGCGTGCAGAGGCTGAAATACATTGAAGAACATTGACCTGAAGCTGCTCGTCTTCTGGCATACATGCTTTGCTCGGAAACATTGACAAAGCATCAGCTAGGAATAGTTCTTTGCCCGGTTTGTAATTCACATGGATGGGGTAACGTTGTAGAGTAGCGCATGCGTTGTAACCGTAGTGGGCACTGATACAACGGCTTACTGAATATCGCTACTAAGAGCCACAGTCACTGCATGCTGTCCGAATATGTAGTCATGAAATTTAGTGCACCCATGTACAATAGCAAGTGTTTCCTTCTCCATCTGTGCGTATCTTGTCTGCGCTTCCGTAAGTGTCCGTGGCGAAAATGCGACGGGCTGCGCATCCTGCATTAGGACAGCGTCCACCCCCAGCTGGCTCGCATCCACCGATAAGGTCACCGGTTTACTGGAATCAAAATACCGGAGTACTGGCGCTTGTATCAGAGCCTCACGCAGTCTAAGAAAACTTTCTTGCTGCACCTCCGTCCAGACCCATGCAGTGTCTTTCCGCAGCAAAGTACGAAGTGGTGCTGTGACCTCAGACATGTTTGGAATAAAACGCTGTACAAAGTTCATTGTGCCCAAAAAGACTTGTAGTTCCTTACAGTTCTTTGGTGTCGGCATTTCCAAAATGTCCTGTACACGTTGTGGGTCCACACGCAAGCCTTCGGCAGTGAGCACGTGCCCAAGGTAGCGAACCTCTGTCCGCAAAAAGAAACACTTCTTTAGGTTTAGTCGAAGATTCTGTTCGCGGCAGCGTGCTAGAAGGAGCTGCAAATTGTAGTCATGTTCTTGCTTTGTTTTGCCCCAGACTAGAATGTCATCCATTACTACCGCTACATTTGCGAGACCTTCTAGGACACGATGCATTGCTGCTTGGAATATTTCTGGTGCTGAGGCAATACCGAAGGGCATGCGGAGAAAGCGGCAGCGTCCGTACGGTGTACTCATTGTGCAAAGTTTGGAGCTATAGTCATTCAGCTTTATCTGCCAAAACCCTGAGGCTGCATCTAATGTCGAAAAAAATTTGGCTCCAGCAAGCTTTGGCACAACGTCTTCCAGTGTAGGCATAGGATAGTTCTCCCGCAAAAGTGCTTTGTTGAGCTCGATGGGATCTAGGCAGATGCGTACTTTATCTTTCTTAACGACGGTGACCATGTGACTTGACCATTCCGTTGGACCCCTTACCTTAGTTATCACGCCTTGTTCTTCCATACGCTTGAGCTCTTCCTTGACTCTTTCCTGAAGGGCCACGGGAACTCGCCTGGCTGGCACGACGATTCCAATGGCTCCGGGCGTTAACTTCATTGCGTACTCTTCGCCTTTCAGCTGTCCCAGTCCACTGAAGACTTCTGCGAAAGGTTGAGCCGCTGGGTACAACTGTTGGACGTGAACATTTTGCACGCGGCAAATAAATCCTAGGCGTTCCGCCACTAATCCACTTAGAGTCACAGGCACATTTTGTTCGACCACAAAAAAAGTTTCTTCGTGCTCTTTGCTGTTAGCACGTAGGCGCAGCCGAATTTTTCCTGTCGCTGGGGTCTTATGGCCGAAGAAGGCGGTCAGGGTCGCGTGGCAGGTTTGCAGGGGCCCATTGCTAAGCTTTTTTTGAGTCTTTGCTTGAAATTACGCAGCAGTTGGCACCCGTGTCTAGCTTGCACGTGAATTGGCAGCCTTCGATGTCAACTGCTGCAGTCCAGTTATCTCCCGCTGCGACTGCGCATACGGTCAAAGCTTACAAGAAAAAATTTTCTTCATCCATTTGTAGTTCGTGCAGCTCTTTTTTCACGCCTCTGTTTTGTCACCGCACCGACGATCTACATGCTTGAGCGAAATGATTACGCCCCCCACAATTTTTGCAGGTTTTTCCTGTAGCCGGGCACCTTGCGTTACCGTGCGCGCTATAACCGCACCGACTACAGTGATGCTTTTGGGTGCTGACTGCCTGAATAACTGCGGCGCTTGCTGCTGCTGTGCCTTCATTAATTTCGTTAAACTGCTCCTTCCCAATTTCTTGGGCGCGACACATTTCGACGGTCCTGCTGTACGACGGATTCTCGGCGATAAGCTTTTCTTGCAAGCGTTTATCTCTCTATCCCAGAATAATCCGGCTGTGAAGCAAACGGTCTTCTAGGTCCCCGAACTCGCAGTTCTTCGCCAAAAGCCGGAGATCGGTTAGCCAGTCATTGAAACACTCCCCTGGCCTTTGGTTCCTTGATCCGAAGCGGAATTCATTAAACGTCAGGTTAGTCACTGGCTTGTAGAATTCCTCAAACTTTTCGAGCAACGTCTCGACGTTGTTTTTGTCTGCATCATCTTTGAATTTGAAGGTGTTGTAAGCCTTCCTACCTTCTTCGCCGACTGTTACGAGTAACGTTGCTGCTTGTACTTCTTTAGGCTGCTTTCTCAACTGGGTAGCGGTGGAGAACAAAGTGAACCCACTTTTCCATGTCTTCCATGCAAGCCATGCGTCTGTCGACGGGTCCAGTGGCTTGGGTGGGGGAAGCAGGGTTGACGGACCCGACATAGTGACGGGAATCCGCTGCCACCATGTGTGCGAGTCGGCTTCAGGCAATGAACAACTTTATTGCCGGAACAAGAACGAGTATATATACACAACTAGTGCCGCCGCCAGGCATGCGCACTAAAGGTACAAACAGTGACGTGGCGCTTATTGAGCCTTGCTACAACACACACACACACACACAAACACACACACACACACACACACACACACACACACACACACACACACACACGGATTTTAGTGGACCTTGCACGTCCTTTGCTCGCATAAAGAAAAATTGAAAATGTTTACCTCATATTTATAAATTGGTCCATGCAAAACCCCTTTTAACGAAAATTTCCAGACAAAAAAAACTAAGCATACTTTGCTTGTTCCGACTAAAGTGGCTGAAATAGCCGGGCTCAAGCGACGACCTCGTGCTGTGCCGCAGACGATCACAGCCAGAGAAAGAGGCGGGTTTGCGGTGCGGTACACCAATTATAAATGCATTGTTTCATTGCGCTTTCACCAATACTTAGCAGCCAAGCGAAAAAAGGACTGTATAGCAAGCCATGTGCATTATGAAGTAAATTATTTTGGACGTATATTTACTATGTGATTGATGAAGGAAAAAAGCGTTGTTCAAACATAAGAGGTCTGCATAAAATCTTCCAGCAAAAAAAGTAATGGAACAATCTCAAGTTTCCGATGAATTTACGCTCACAGTTCTGCCGCTTACTAAGTTATGAAAAATGATGCCTCTGGCAGTGAAATGTCTCAGTCGAGCATTTTTACGCAATAGTATGAACTCGTGCGTTCGCTAATTGATGCCAACAAGAATAAGCGATTGAAAGTTTTTGTATGCAAATAACCGTCTGTAACCAGTAATAAGATCGTATTAGTTTTTGGAATTAACCCGCGAAAGTCAATTAAAATACGATCTGATAAAATATTCTGAAGAGACAGGGTATGAGTAAAAGGGCCCCACGCCCTTTCCAGATTTTGTTGGTTTCAAGCACAGCCAAGCGACGTGTTTCATGCACATCCACTCATTGCACTCTGAACTGCTGGTGCACAGTCGAGGAGCCAGTCGGCCACTAGTCGTAAGTCTTGCAGTTATGAATCAGCGACTGGGTTTCATGCTCGGTGGTAATAGAGAATATCGTTTTCCTCTTTTTTTTTTATAACTGTTGTTTTGTCTGCCATGCAGCAGGCGCCACTAAGCGATTTTTTTAAACTTTGAATGTTGGTACTTGAATTTTGAACAATGGCTTACGAAGAACAGTGACCTAAAAGCGATGTCTCGAATTTCCGGCGACGGGAATAGCCGGTGAGGCAAGAGTTCGGAGAAGGAAAAAGGCAGACGACACGAGCGAATGTTGACGAAAGAAAGGGAAAGAGGACGTCACGGAGCTACCTTTACGGTCATATATTTTATGGAATACGCTACTTACTACTTACGCGGTATAAATATGAAGATCATGCAGCCTTCTGCATAAACCTAACAATCAGCACAGCTACGCTACTACATGATTTGCGTCTCGTACGCGCGCTTCGTTGCAAGCGTTCGTGATTTGATGTTATGGTGGTATCTACTGTTCATAATTTAGGTAATATAGGCTTTTATGCTCTTTGGCGTCTCGTAATGATCCATTTGATAAAACACGAGAACATTCGCATAGAAACGGTACAAAACAAATAACTGAACTAAGAATTTACGATGGGAACACATTCCTTATTTTCTCTTATACCACTGCGTTACTGCAACTATATTCAGAGCTCATGCTCTGCTCTAAATATCAGAAGTACGGTCATATCAAACAGGATCATTTATGTTTCCACCGTAAGCTAGC